GGCAGGGTTCGGTACACGGTACTCAGTCACACAGGCAAAGGTATCCAGGAAGCATCAGGCAAAAAGCAAGGTCCAAAACACAGAAACAAGGTCGTGATCGAACAGACTGTGGCTTGACTTGATAAACGAGGACTGAGAAGGGCAACGAACTGGCGACGAGACTGTGAGACACACGAGGTGATATACACGAGGTAATGAGGGGAGATGGGAAACAGGTGTGGGGAAGCCATCAGGGAGCAGGTGTGACGAGACAGGTGCAGGAAGTAAAACTGGAACAGAAACACCCGGTGAAGTGATTTCAAAATAAAACAGGAAAGACGAGACATAGAATGTGTACACATGGACAGAGACTTGATGGACATGACAGAAGCTGCCGTGTACACCAGTGTTGGGCCGTGTGTTGTCCTCCTGGGCCTTCAGCGGCGTCCTACCTGAATCAAACCACCTCTGAACACCGTCGCTATGACGCCACGGCTACAGGAACCATCAGTATTATACAGAAAGGCAGCATAGCAGGACGTTGCATCGCACACAGGGACCTCATGTAGTGAGAATGAATGCTGTCACTAAAGCACAAACACCAGTTAAACAATTCAACACGTCTCCTTTCACTGCACCACATACGTCACATCAGGGCTCTCACCGCTGTTCCCCTAAAAAAACCCGCCGTGTCCTGGCCCGCTACGATGTCATTCAAGCTGCGTGTTTGGAAAATCTGACATATTTTACAGTAAAACGTGTAAATTTTCCTCAGAAACTCATTTCTCTTGCTATTCGTTTAGACCGAAGAAAATGTCCGCTTGCTCAACTTAAAAAAATAATAATAATGCTTTTACGATAAAGTTTTAGCTTATGCAGATCAGTATAGATGTGAATCATTAGCTTTGGCTAAGATCTCTGACTATCCAATCAGAGGACGTGAAAGTGCTGATGTCATCGTAGGCCCTGGGACCACCAACTCTCAATCTGATTGGTTAAAGCAACAGTTTCATTGTGATGCGTTTAGGCTACAGGCGCCTGCACTGTGATGCTGAAGGCCTCGGGGCAGATTTCTGAGACCCCGGCAACACATGACGGCAGAAATATGATTGGATAAAAAAACAAAAAAGAAGCTCTACTATAAACATACGTTTGTGGAAGCAGCACAGCCCAGAGACACGTTATGAAAGGAGGAGAACAACTACTGGGAATAAAGTTAAAAGATGAATGGGAACATTTTGATTCTGATGAGTTTAGGCCGGCAGAGAAGGCCTTGCTGGCCCTGACGGCACACCTCTGAGTTTACTACACGCAGCCTCAAAAACACGAACGTAAACTCAGACCAATCCTGTCAACCTGCAACGTTCTGCACCAGTGTGTGAGCAGAGACGGAGGTGAGCTGGTGTGCTCGAGCTGCAGCAAGTGGTGGAGCGGTGGGTGGAGAGAGAGGCAGGAACTTCATCGATGCAGTTCCTCCAACGTCCACTTGAGGCTGGCTATAAAAGCGAGTCAATCTCCATAGACGCTCATGTTAACGTGTCGAACTTTACAGCAGGAATAAACAGGTTTACAGCCTGGAACAGAACCAGTTCTGGGCTGTGTCCGACATCACCCACCAGAACATGTTGTAGTGCTGTCCGAATGTTACGTTACTAATGTTACACCCTGTATAGTCACTCAAAATATCCCACAACGAACGATAGCGCAAAGGACGCAAAGGTTTAGAGCTACATCCAAACTATTTTAAGGTAGGAAGGCATTACATCATGGTATGGAGTAGTGAGAGTGCCAGATTACAAAAATAAATCAATAAAAGAATAAAAAAATAAAAGCGGAAATAAAAAGAAGAATAAATATAATAATTTATTTGTTATCATTATTTTAATTTTTTAAAATACATTTTTCTATTTCTATTTATTTCTATCATTTTTATTTTATTTTTTAAATTATTCTTTAAGTTGTTTTTATTATCTTTTTCCCCCCTTTTTTTTCTTTTAAAGCGACATTTATTTAAAGCGACTTTATTTTTAAAAACATAACTTAAAAAATAATTAAAAAATAAGATTAAGAAAAAATAAAAATNTAACAAAAAATGTCATCTTTTTTTAAAATAACAGGGTAAACGTTGGGTGGTTTATTAAACATTTGTCATTCTGTAAATTTACTGTTAAATAACAGGAAGTGACATCTTTTCACAATAAATACATCATTAAATAGCAGCCAGGGTTTATTTCTATCACAGGGTTATCATCACATAAAATGAAAATGTTTTTAACTGCTGGTTCACAAAAAATATGCAGAAAATGAGCAGTTTTTAGTTTTGTTTTGTTGTTTGTGTTTATTTTTTATAAAATGTTCTGTTTTTCACAATAGATACACCATTAACATAGAACATCTCTCTTTTATTTATTTATTTATTACAATAAAATTGTTATTAAATGTTCTGTTTTTCCATTTTTTTAAATTCACAGGACAAAGTCTGGCTTAATAAGCTGCCAACAATCTTCCTGTTGTTTTATGAAGAGCGACGGTTTGACTTTGCTGCTCATCTGAACAGCTCCACACACAAATGACTGAAATCAAACATGACGACGTCTGTGGAGTTCTTGCTTTGGAGCATCTCTTTCTCTCCCCTTTTTTCTTCTCTCTCTCTTCTTTTCTTCTCTTCAACCTTCAGCCGATTCTTCTCGTGATGATTTCAGCTCTCTAGAATGAAGCCTAACTTTTTCCAGCCCAAATAGCGTGTGACCCACTTCGATCAAAAAGAAACAAAAAAAAGGAGCAACATGTGGAAAACAGTCAGAAGTCCTGCATTCTTTCTACACCACAATTATTTTTCCTTCATGAGATTTTAATGTTCCTGAAATCAAGTAATTTTGTGCCACATTCAGATGTATGAAAATGAGCTCTTTTGTTTTTTTTCTAAATCAACCCGTCGGTGCCAGGAGGAGCTCGCTGGCACCGACGGCCCGGTTTGAAAAGTAGCTGAGTTTGTAATGTAAGATCCACGTGCTGAAAGTCAGCTGGGCCTGGACTCAATCAGGCGAGCGTGGCCTTTTGCTCCTCTTTCTACAGACGATCAGCAGTTTGCTCTGAATGCAGATCTTCACTGAAAACTATTATAGATGATCCGACGAAGGCTGGAAAGAAAACAGCTGACATGTGATG